CCTCCTCGCACCGTGTCCCCAGGCTCCGGGCGGGCAGGCTCTCCCCCCCACCTGGTCCTTCCCCGAGCCCAGCCCCGGTCAGGGGGTCGGAGAGGCGTCCTCCAGGCCCAGCAGCTCCCGCACGAGTCTCTCACCGAACTGCGCCCGGCTGTACCTCTGCACGTGGTAGGCGTCCGACAGCTTGTACAGGATGTAGGCGTTGTTGACGGCGATGCTGACGGCGAACCAGAACACCTGCTGCCAGGTCTTGTTGGGTTTGTGAGAAATGAAATACCTGCGCGGACACGGTGGGTCAGGAGCCGCCCCAGCCCGGCCAGGTGGCTCAGTGGTGAGCGTCCACCTATGAACCAGGAGGTCAGGGTGCGCGATTCCCGGTCGGGGCACAGGCCAGGGTTTTGGGGGCTCGATCCCCAGTGTGGGGCATGCGGGAGGCAGCCGATCCATGATTCTCTCTCATCATTGATGTTTCTCTCCCTCCCCCTTCCTCTCTGAAATCAATAACTTATTTTTTAAAAGAAAGACAAAGAGGCGAACAGCTCCCATCACAGGGGTGGGAGAGGAGAGCTGAACCCGGGAGCAGGCGTCTGTGGCTCAGAGCACAGGGCCCAGGGTCCTCCTGGGCCAACCCCACATAGGGCGCCTCTCTTCCTGCCTTGTCTACACTCCTGTCTCCGCTCTGAGGGTGAAGGGTTTGGGGGTCATATCCTCCCCACGCCCACCCACAGGCTCCCAGCAGACGGCTAAACACGCAGGGTTCCCTGTGACAGCCGCCTGGACCTCGCAGGAGACAGCTCAGGGGCCCCCTCGGAGCGGCTCCTGGCCACGCCCAGACGTCGCCTCTCTGAGAGGCCAAGTCCATGGCCCAGGGCCGTTGAGGCTGGTCCCACCCGGTTCTGGGTGTGAGGCCAGGACTAGTGACCTAGTGGCAAACCCAGGTCCACGGCAGTCGTTGCTCAGTTCCTGTTCGGAACGTAAGGACGCCCGGCCAGACCAGCAGACGGCACTGCGGGGACACGCACGGACACTGCGTCCCGTCCGTCCTATGTGAACACTTGAGATGAGACCACGCCTGTGAGGGCACCGCGGCTGGAATCACTGGGGACCCGCTGGCAGACCACGGCCACGGGAGGGTCTGAGAGGGGGAAAGGGGTGCGGGGTCTGGCCAGTGGCGGAGGGAAGTGTGAGCAGGCGGAAGGAGGCACCTTCGGGCAGGGAGGGGGCCGAAAACAAAACAAAAAAGATATAAGAGGAGTCCAACTGAGGTGGCTCAATGGTTGAGCGTCGGCCTGCGGACTGAAGGGTCCCGGGTTCGATTCCCGCTCAGGGCACAGGCCCGGGTTGCAAGCTCGATCCCCAGCGTGGGGCGTGCGGGAGGCAGCCGATCCATGATGCTCTCTCATCATTGATGTTTCTCTCCCTTCCTCTCTGAAATCAATAACTTATTTTTTAAAAGAAAGACAAAGAGGCGAACAGCTCCCATCACAGGGGTGGGAGAGGAGAGCTGAACCCGGGAGCAGGCGTCTGTGGCTCAGAGCACAGGGCCCAGGGTCCTCCTGGGCCAACCCCACATAGGGCGCCTCTCTTCCTGCCTTGTCTACACTCCTGTCTCCGCTCTGAGGGTGAAGGGTTTGGGGGTCATATCCTCCCCACGCCCACCCACAGGCTCCCAGCAGACGGCTAAACACGCAGGGTTCCCTGTGACAGCCGCCTGGACCTCGCAGGAGACAGCTCAGGGGCCCCCTCGGAGCGGCTCCTGGCCACGCCCAGACGTCGCCTCTCTGAGAGGCCAAGTCCATGGCCCAGGGCCGTTGAGGCTGGTCCCACCCGGTTCTGGGTGTGAGGCCAGGACTAGTGACCTAGTGGCAAACCCAGGTCCACGGCAGTCGTTGCTCAGTTCCTGTTCGGAACGTAAGGACGCCCGGCCAGACCAGCAGACGGCACTGCGGGGACACGCACGGACGCTGCGTCCCGTCCGTCCTATGTGGACACTTGAGATGAGACCACGCCTGTGAGGGCACCACGGCGGGAATCACTGGGGACCCGCTGGCAGACCACGGCCACGGGAGGGTCTGAGCGGGGGACAGGGGTGCGGGGTCTGGGCCAGTGGCGGAGGGAAGGTGTGAGCAGGCGGAAGGAAGCACCTTCGGGCAGGGAGGGGGCCGAGAAGGGCCGGTCCCCAGAGGAAGGCTGGGCCGCTGGGCAGAGCCTGGGAGCCGGGGGAGGGCTCCGGGGGATCCAGGGCCTCGGTTCTTTCAATCGTTCGATCTGAAGTTGGGGCAATACTGACCGCCCGACCCCATAACCCCGTATCCTGTGCCGGTGACTCTGCGGGACCCCACCCCGCCCCGCCCCCCGGACGGGAGAGGCCGGCACCTACTTGCTGTACTTGTCGTCGTATCTGCAGATGTAGCTGAGGTGAGCGGCAAACGCCTCCACGGCCAAGGGGCAGGGGACCTCCCCGCTCCTCCGCTTGATGATCACCCCTGCGGGGACCGAGGGTCAGCCCAGGCCCCTGTGTGTGCCCTGCGTGTGACTCACACCCGTGCCTGTCCCACCCGCCTGGGTGTCCCATGTAAACCAGAGAGCAGAGGGGGGAGTGGGGAGGAGGAGGAGGATGGAGGATGGGAGGAGAGGGAGGAGGGAGGAGGAAAAGGGGAGGGAGGGGAGGAGGGAGGAGGAAGATGGAGGAGAAGGAGGAGGGAGGAGGGAAGGAGGGCGGAGGAGGATGGAGGAGGGGAAAGAGGAGGAGAGGAGGAGGCAGCGGAGGCTGAGGTCAGCGAGCACAGGCAGTCGCTTCCGCCCACTCTACCCGCCATGGTCTCAGCGCAGAGGCTGCTATCCCTCTTGCCTCCCTCCCACTGTTTTCATCCCTTTAACTGAACACTGAGATTCCAGCCGAACTCTCAGGGGAGCAGCTTCAAAAAAAAAAACCCAGGCCTGCCTCAGTTTCCCTAAGTGTCCCAGGTGAACAAACCAGGTCGCCCGCCCCCAGGGGGACACTGCACTGTGAGTTACTGCTCCACCTGGAAAGGGGAGGCTCCTGGCCTACAGTCACCACTTTCGAGGCCCAAGAGCTGCAGACACTGGACATGCGCCCTTCCCACCGGAACAGGCTCCCGCAGAACCCCGGGGGGCCCAGTGAGCACGGGCAGCCCTTCACATGCAGCCGCTGTCAGACCCACGGACACGAGGGATCGAAGGCGCCTCAGTCCCCGCCACCCCCATTGCTATTCCTTCGCTGCCGACACCTGGCGGGAG